CGCCCGGCTCATCCCGACTTTCTAGAAACCGAAAACTGGATCGTGGCTTGCGGCGTTGGATCTCGGTCGATCTCCGTCGAGCGACGTCAGCCAGGTTGCTCGATTCACGTAACAGTCATGTCAGTCTTTAAGGATCGTGTGCTCCGCCTTTCCTTCTTCTTCTTATTTCGAGCGTCGTTCCACGGAACCAGCTACCGTTTCCCGTGGACATTACTCACGAAGTCGCTCGGAGAGAAACTCCACCTTTCGGGAGATAAAGCCTCGCTTCGCCTCAGGCTCGCTCGAGGGAAACGAAATTCCGAGAACGGCGTACCTACCATTCGCGATTAAGTTACCGGAAATCTCGGAAGGGAGAACGTAGCTCGTCTCGTAGCTTCTTATATAGTCAATTAAGCCAGCCAAGCTCGTTAAACCGACAACAGTTCGTAGGTACGAAACGTTCGAATTAACGACAGACAATAGATTCGCTCGTAAAAGTGCGCTTTAAGATCGACGTTATCCTCGCGTAGGTTCACTATGAAAAATCTGATTAGCACACGTTAAGAGTTTCTCCTCGAGACGACTATCGTTGGACGAGGAACAAGGGAAAGTACCATATGTAAATCGAACTTAATCAACGACATCTGGACAGATGACACGTTAGCATCTATCGTTCTCGAAAAGAGAAAAGCGTTACGTGGAATATCGTCCGTCGTTTATTGTTTGGAATTCAGAATTAACGGCTTTCTCGCTGTCCATCAGTAACGGCGAAATTCCGGTAATAAAGGCGAGGAGTGTTATTAAAGAAGCTCGAGAGAGAAAGAGAGAGGTATAGAGGGAACCGTTTTCCCAGAGATGGAATTTATCTCGGTTTTTACACGCAACGATGGGTTAACGACTTCGCGAACGAAACCGTTCGACCGTTCTGGATCATCGAGCCTCACGTCCCGAGACAGAACGGTTCACCGTTTCTGAGACACTCGGTACACTTTCGATTCCAACCGGACACCTCCCGGTAACTCGTCGCATTCTCCACACTCGTAATTAACGCTTTTCACTATTGTCGGTCGTGAGCTTTTTGCCTCTGCTCCTTTTACGTTGGAACGGGGTTCTTGCACCGGCGTGGACTCCTCCTTTTCCCTCTGTCCCCCCTCCCCAACTTCTCCTCTCGTCCACAACCCTGTCGCGAGTGAATTTCTCTTTCGTTGAAACTGGACAACCAGCTGAGGATTAGCTTCTTCGATAACTGGATTGACTCGCGTGGAAACGAAGCAGATTGTGAAAGGATTCCACGATTTCACGAATTCACGTGAGCTTCCTTTATCAGGAATTACCTTCCCGTTCAGTGCAGAAACGAGAAACGAGATCGGAACGAGCGAATTCGGTGAAATACGAGGCGTAGCGGTGAAGCACTGGCGGAGACTTCGACGCCCGCATAAGCGATGTTCCGCGGTGATTTCAACGCCCGATAAAGCAGCAAGCAGACGTTGTCATCGTGATTACATTAATATTGTATACTTCCGTGGAATTCTCTTTGAATTAGATTGTTTATCGAACAATGGTGGATTAGTTACAAAATGTAAACTAGAAAAGATGCAGGATTTAATTAAATGAATTATAGGTGTGCAACGAAAACTTTGTACGCATCTTCTAACACAGGTGAGTTCATTCATGATGGAAAGCGTTGATGTTATGCGTCACACACGTGCTGGTTGCCAATGCGTCTTAACATAGTCGAACGTAAGGTCAGAACATGAAAATGCGAGCACTTCCAGACGGAAAGATCAATTTTACCATTTTCTAAAATCGTCGTCGTTGGCCGAAGAAACATTTATCACGACGCGGCGCTTGACACATTGACGTATCGAATTCAATTTCATTCGATGCCCGCATCTCACACTGACGACGCATAAGAATAATTCGCGAACCTGACAGAAACGTAATCCTTTCACTGGCGTTCGTTCCCAAATCGCACCTAATACATCACACGTCTTCGATCTTAGATTCCTTTCGAATTAAAATCTTCTAATTGAAAGTTGCAAATTGTCAAATTTAAACATACAAATTGATCTCACGCTCAATACTTCTCTCTCCTCTTGCAGATCATCCCGAGCGACGAGCAGGAGCAAGGCCGAGGGTGACAGAAGCGGTGGTGATGAGCGGATATCTCGGTAACATCACCCTGCCCCCAACGTTGTTGCACGACCCGAAGTATCCTCCAGCCATGCGGGAGAAAGACTCGAGTCCGAGAAAAATGCCGGGCCACATTAGCCCAAAACAAGCCAGCATCTATCCCCTAAGCGTTCGCGTTCCGGACGTCGAAGAATTGCCATACGACTTGAGTCACGGCCACGGTCGTGGTCTCTCGAGTCCGACGAATCAACAGCAACACCAGCAACAGCCTCACATGAGCCCAGCTGCCAGACCACCTCAAACTCACCATCAAGAAGATCTCGACTGCGAACCTCTCGATCTTCGCGTGGATCACAAAAAGGAAAGACTCACGGATGAGAATCAGAACGAGATAGAAGTTCTAAATCAGAACAGTCTCGGCGGAAGTCTTCCCTATCACACAGTACTATTCCCTCAGCATCATGCAGTTCATCCATTGGTCCTCGAAGCTATGTACAGATCGCACCACCATAGTTCATCCTCTGTTCCGGATCTACCTAAGATTCAAGTCAGAGCTCTGCCAACAATGGTACCATTACCGCCCAACAGATTCTCCTCTACCACTTCTTCCACCTCGTCGTCTTCCTCGCAAGCAGCAGCGAGAGTTCCAAGTCCTTCGAGCGGACAACAACACCCGCCGCAGCAACAGAGTCATTCCAGTCAACAACAGCAACAGCAACAACAACCACCCTCCAATCTTCCACCGTACTCGATCAGCGTCCAGGCTGGTCTGAAACCGAAGGACAGATACTCGTGCAAATTCTGCGGTAAAGTGTTCCCTCGATCAGCCAATCTGACGAGACACCTGAGGACTCACACCGGTGAACAACCGTACAAATGCAAATACTGTGAAAGAAGCTTCAGCATTTCCAGCAATCTCCAGCGTCACGTCAGGAATATTCACAACAAGGAGAAACCATTCAAATGTCCACTCTGCGAGAGATGTTTCGGTCAACAGACCAATCTGGATAGACATTTGAAGAAGCACGACGCCGATGGACCGACGATACTGGACGAAGTTAGGTCGAGGTACCATGGACAGCTACCGAGAGCGGATGAATCTTACTTCGAAGAGATTCGTAGCTTCATGGGCAAGATCACTTCGCAGAGACAAGGAATACCGTATTTCCCTGGGCTGTTGGGTCACGGAGGAGACGATTTCAGGAACGACAAGCAACAGCTTCAGTTAGAAGAGAAGAGAGGCGATTCTTCCTATTTCAGCGACAGGGACAATCTTAGCTCGAGGTCGAGCAGCACAGCCAGCAGGCCGGAGAGTGTCCAGGAGGAACAGAGGGAGGTTAATTCTCCGCCGTTGTCACCGGGAAACAACACCTGAGCCGAGGACTTGGATCGTGCGTCCGATGAAACGTTATCGGGCACGATTAAGCAGAGATTGAGGAACTTTCGCTCATGAACAATGGACTCTGAGGAGCTAAGTGTAGAATCTTTATTTCAGTGAATTATTTTTATACGACGAACCAAGTTCTGTTAATTTCTAAAATCATACGAAAATACTAGACGTTGATCAAAGACGAACAGGTGCCTTGCAATGTATGTTAGGTGATGTGCCTAAAATGTTCTCTCAAGTATTTGGAGCACAGAATCCGGCAACTAGTAGACTAAACTCGACTCTAAGTATCGATATTTTAGTACTATTATCTGTATCATTCGTGAATCAATCGGTGAAAAAGGAGACAAGGGAGAGAGAGACACTGCTGCCAATTCGAGAGTGAAATTTCTCATAAATTCTGCAAAGTACAATTATTCACTTCTTCTCCGTTTCTATTCGCTGATTGATTTAACGAACGTTCGCGACATTTGTTAACACGCAGGCTGTCTAAAACGATTGACGAACATTTCCCATCGAGTAATCACTTTAAAATCGCAAAATCGGAAGAACAAAGCCACGCGCCATCTTACGTTGAGTATAAGACTATATAGAGAGCTCTCAGCTGATGTTTTACACAGGCAGAAGAAGAAGAAGAGGTTGATTCGTTCCAGTAGAAGAGAACGGTTGAAAACGACGCCTAACGATTTTACGACCTAGAAAGTGAATTTCAACCACGCCATCGCTCTCGATCCTAATCCAGGAGACGGACAATAAAGTAGAAATCGATGGGCGGATCGGTGCGGTTGTCAGTCGATCTCCTAGAAACCGTCCACGACAGGAAGAAACGGGAAACGCGACGCCCGTGACACGAGCCATTAAGTTCCTCATTGAGGAAGTCTGCGACGCGCCTCCGGAGCCTGGGACCATTTTCACGAGGCAAAGAAATACGCTCTTTTCACGTCCAATTTTTTTGCTCAACTCTCCGTCAGATTGTACCTTGGACACTTTTAAAAAATTGTAAAAATTCAACGTCAAAGCGAAGGCAGATCGACGATCGAAGCGATAGAAGACAGACAGAAATATCTATATATAAGATTAAGAAATTAGAAATGGTTTCATAGGATGAGTTTCACAACGACGATAAATAACACTCAACACGTGGGAAACTTAATCCACCGAGGATCGACGTGACACGGAAAACCGGCGTGTTTCCTGTTGCCGATGATTAGCAAAAAGGACTCGGAGATGTTGGCAATGGCGGCATCAGCGTGATCCCACACGCCAATAATCCTCTCCGTCTCGTTTCCTGCGGATGGTCGGTGAAAAACGCACCCGGGGCAAAACGATCTAATCGCTTTCCGCTGCCGAGTGGCCAGCCCACGAAATCATCGGCCACTTTCTAACCAGTACGAGCGAACGAGAGGAGCTTCGACCTTGGAAAGATACAGTTCGCTCCGATTAATTACGTCCGATCTGGATCGAACGAAAATACTACTGAAATTAGCACCGGATGGTTGCGTGGACGATTCGTAATGTCGTTGAAATCTGTCTCGAGAAAGTTGTACAGTTTTTTGCACCTCTTCTCGGACTGAATGAAATTCATATTCCTATAACGTGTGAAGATTCATTGAGCAGTGCCACAGACGACGAGAAATGTAAAACTGCGCTACCAAAGATTGAGACGATCTATAAAAATTGTAAAAATGAAAAGGATGTAGGTAAATTGGAATATTAAAGTCTCTGTAGAAAAATGATCGCCCGAGGAGACGAAGAGGGAGGACAGAAGCCGATCGCAGCGATCGAATCGGCTGCCGGCGTGGCGGCGTAGCACTAGGTGGCGATTTATCGGCACTTTCTACCTTGCACCGACATTCACTGCAAGTAGCGCAGGTGCATCGGTGAGCCACGCGGTCAGGAGATCCTCTTGACCTTGGTAAACGCGATCGAGGAGGAGCGGTTAGGCCGAAAGCCCGAGCCTCGGAACATCTAGCTGTTTTCCTTCCCAAGGAATCTACGAAACGTTTGCTCTCAGCACCTAGGCGGTGACGCGTGAGAAACGATTTGCGCTTTCTAGCGTGGAATGTCGACGATCTTTCGAATCATAACAGCCTCCCTGCCAACCTGTTAGAACTCGCAGTCCGTGATAAGCGAAACCGATAAGAATCAGAATCGTCTAGAAAATTGCCGATGCAAAAATGGTAAAACGACGGAGGAAAGGCGCCATCAGCATCGGGACTTTGATAAGACGTTGAATAATAATCGCAAAAAGGTCGTCGATAAAGGTGAAACTTTTCGAATGTATTTATCTAGCGAAGCTATACAGAGAGGTAAACTGCGAAGAGATTTCCCAAAGCTGGCAGCCGGCGACAGAAGGAGAGAGAGAGAAGTAGTCTGTTTGATCGAGTAGCATGAGAATGCGCGCGACGGGGAATCCGTCGACGAAATCCATTTTAAGAGCGAGTCGTGGCGATTTCGTAAGGAGATCGATGCAACGAGCACGTCACGAGGTGTGACTAAGCTTCTACGGCGTATAGATACATCTCTCTGGAGCATTCACGAGACGGAGAGGATCGCGGGCCCTGTTTTTCTTGCCTCACGCGCGTACACACGATCCTCGGCCTCGGATGGCCTCGGACCTCTCTTGCGTTACACTTTTGCCACGCCCCGATCGGACGGACAAGCTCATCGCGAAAGTGAAACGCAATAAAGGAGCCACGCCGAGCTCTGGCGAGAGTGTATCTCTCGACGCAACCGTGAAACGCTCCGAGATACATGCCCGAAGAGAAGACAGACAGAGAACGATGGATCGAGAAGGAGATCTCGGATCGTCAGACGCTCTCCTCGCCGCCTCCAACAACAATCCACTTCAACCTGCACCGATTTCACGTGTTAATTGCTGTTTAACTTGTTCACTGGGAAAGACGAGTTAAGTTGTCATTGATTAGCCAATACTTGGAATACGAGAATTTATTTATCCAGGGATTATTCAGTTTTTATCGCACTGTTGCGCACGTATTTAATGCGAAATAGGTACATCATGTTCGTATTTGCAAGAACCAAGATGGAAGTAAGTGGTTACCATTTTCACTCTTGTTTAACACTAGAACAACCGAATTTACTATATTTTTTCCCTTCTGATATTTTATTTATCAGGTGTGCTGCATAAAGAACTTCGAAATTAGACTTATTAATGGAAAATAAATTGGTATGTATAATTATTTCTTTCTTTCAACAAGTAGGAAATCTGAAATTCGTCATTTTCACTGGTGTGGTTGATCTAGTGTTAATTTCAAACTAAAGACGTCCGAAATTTCTGTTCGAGAGACGAACCCAGTTAACAGGTCAATCAGTCTGCCTTTAGTTTCTGCCTGCAAACCATCCATTACGCTAAACAGGAAAATCGTTTCCTCGCAAAAATGTTCCACCCATTAAAATTCTCGCGGTCGAAGTAACTCCTCTCTCTCTCTCCTTCGTTTTTTCTAAATTGTCCGACGTGGATATCGTAACGCAGCCTCAGAGAAAAACTCGCGAGCAGCCGCCAGTTTCCACGCTAGGCAATAATCCGTCGACCAGTTCCCCCACTGGCAAAAAAGAAGCCGCGAAATTTCTACGGGGGACGAGTCTATCCGCGAAATCGCCGCGAGTTCTCACGTCCGCGCCACGTTTTTCGATCTCATCTCGTTCCAGTTTACACGCGTGATTTCACTGGACACTCCGCGCGAACAGGTCAGCCCGATTCGAATTACGACAGCCTGTTGTTACGAGGCGGGGTAACAAGAGGAAAGAAAAGGAAAAAGTGAAGAAAATACAAGTCCACTTCGAAAACACCGCTAGAAATTCAGATCGTTCGATTTCGAGATTAGACGGCTCCCCCTCCCCGCCTCTTTCTCCCAATCATTGTACATACACTTACGTGTTCAACGAATCAGATTAGCAGATTATAATATAATATAATATATGTACTTGTACCTATAGCTGCTAGAATTCGAAACGAGGCTCAATTTAGTTAATCGATATCGTCATTAGTCTCTCTCGCCTGTCGACGAGATAAGGAACAGTCTTTGGAAGAAATATCAGGAGGTCGTGAATTGAAGCACTACATACCGATTCATACAGTAACGTCCATGGTCCAATGCAGAATTCTTCGTTTTTCAATTAGGATTGAGTCAAAGCTGAGGTTATATACAGTCCTGAATGAAGTTTCGTGTTTTTATCATCTCAGGTTTCTGTCCATATACTCGAACATGTCAATTTCGACGTCTGATCAATTTTACAACTTCCCTATATTTCTTCCATCGACTATACGTTACTTTCAAGAGCAATCTCAAATTGTACGTTCAAACTCCCGAAAGCAACTCGCGATAGTTTTACTCTGAAATGGACACGTATCCTTGGAACAAACTGTCGCAAACTCGTGGACAGGTGGACAATTTCACCGAAAAATCTCGCCTAATCTCTTCTGTGGAGTAAAAAAAGGTTCTCTCGGTAGGGAGAGAATGGTGTGCAAAAGGGACGAATTTTTCATCGATTTCCAAACACGGGGGTGACGTTTCCGCGCGCGTTCCAACCCTCCGCCATTTTATAGTCAGCCGCGCGCGCGCGCGCGCTCGAGGTGTAAATAAGTGTACGAAGCGAAAGAACTACCGCTCTAAGTTTTGATACGTAGTCTTTAATTCTAAGTATAAACATAGAGATCTATATGCAAGAAAAAATGGATAAATAAATATAATATATACGTATGCGTGTGTGTGCGTGTAAATCGTAACGACGATTGTGATTTCACTGAGGTTACCGAGTTATACGTATTTACCGTTTAGCCACGAATGCGCGGCGCCGTCAGCCGACCAAGCTATCAAGCGCTCGTTACCTTTGTAGAACCGTTAGCTCGTAAGTTGTGCGCAGGTGTCCACGCTCAGTTCTATTTTTTTTCCCTCCTCTTTTTCACTGTTCTTTCTCTTCTTCTCTTTCTCCCTTCTAAATAGTCAAATTCGAGGAGGACCACCCAAGTGTTGCAAAAACGAATCGAAGGTGTCGTTCCTTCGTTTCTGTTTCCCTTCAAGAGATTATTTCGCACGTCGAACTTACGTGTCTCTCTATTGTATTTTCGTTTTTTTTTTTTTTTTTTTTTTTTTTTTTTTTTTTTTTTTCTTTAATCGTCGATGATCTCGTTGCACGAAGAAAATTTCGTTCTTTCACGCGGACGATACGCAAGACGTTCGACGCGCTCTCCTAACTTCTCCGACAAGCGACAGACAAACGAGAGAGAAAAACAAAAGGAAAAAGACACTGCTCTTTAGCCCCGTAGTCGCGCGTCCTTGTAGAATATAGTGGTGACTGTATATATGTTCATATGTAATATTCGATTAACGAAAAAAATATATAAATATATATGTATGTGGATGTACACACACACACACACACACACAGAGGCAGAGAGAAACGAACGTACACGTGGAAATTTATTTTAAAACGAAACTCTCGTCTCGTACTTACTCTTGCGTTTACTTTCTCCGCTCTCTCAACGCGTTCCCAAAGCGCGCACCTCTCCGAACCTTTCATTAAACTCCCCATTTTTGCGTCCCTACGACACGTACGTACAGTTGCTTTTCGGCTAATTCTGTCTGAAGCTGTTGGAAAGGAATTCCTGAAAATTCGAGATTAACTTGTCAAACGTGACAAGGGTTCGATTCGTTCGTAATCGTTTAAAAGAATTCGTACAATTAATTTTTGATCCTGTCTCTCGAGAGTTGACAATTCACGGGAACAACGGTAGGTTTCACACAGATTCGACCGGTCAGAAATTCAGGTTCTTCGAAAGATGGTCGCGTTTCCAGAAAATCAACGTTCCTCTCCCCCCCGCGCTTCCGTTGAGAAAAGGACTGGCAATTAACGTGAGAAACGACAGGTTGTCCAGGGTCATAGGTGTGTGAGAACCGGAACCCAAGATGAAGACGTGGCCGCTTGGACAAACTGTCCGATGACTTCCAAGACGAGTCTCGTGATCTTGATCGAATCGTTGATCGCGACGAATCTCCTTCTCCTCCTCCTTTTTCAACCCCTCCAGCTCGTAAATCTTCCGGAGGATATTTACATTTTTTTTTTGCCAGGTAGAACATCACCTAAGGATATTTATAGGGGCTATAAACCTTCATGCTCTTTTGCACACATACACCGTGAACACGGGTTAATGCAATTTTCTTGCGCATTAACGACACCACTGATGAGTCTATCTTTCACGTTTATCGTTGGAATTCGAACGAGCGTTGAAAGATCGCCGCTGTAATTCGAAGAAAAGATGTTTTGCTTTTGAAACGTGGTGTTCCCACTTCGTGGACCGTCGTCTCCCTGTTCTTGCAGCGATACCGATCCATAAATAAAGGCTCACTCATCTCAGCCAAACTTGGCCTGGAGGTGATCGTATACCGAACGAACAGGGAGACTAGGCCGCTTCGAGCTAAGTGGCTTCTTGGCCTCGCCGAGGACGTGACTTTGACCCAGATATCGGCAAACTACGCCGGCCAACCTCTACATTTTCAATCGAAATCACGCTTGAACTGGACCTCTGGAAGAGGCCCGTATTTTACTTGTCGCTTGAATTTCAACGAGATTGCACGGACGGACACGGACGATCAGATGGAATTTTGTGAACTTGCTGGTTGGGGTCGAAGTCTACTTCGCTATCGTACGTGCAAAACGTGGTGGCAAAAAAATTCGCGTAATCCTGACGGCCACGTAACAACCTTGGTGACAACGACAATAAAGATGATTCGTCACGTGTAACCTTAGATGCTCGGTGAATCACCGACTGTGAACAGCATCTTCTCCGGAATTGACAACAGCGTATTACCTACTTAAGGAATTCCTATATCAGCCTGGAAAAAACGCGCGCGGCGCACGTGCGTCCATTCGAGACGCGACGCCAAATCGTTCTTTTGTATTTACGATAGAGGCTGGTGTGTAAATGATCAACAGTTTCTGTATAAATCTCACGTACGTTTATTTACAGTCGATTGAACATTTTTTTAAAGAAAGTGCTTCGAAAAATATAGGTACAATGGTTCTGTTTTGATGGTGTGCTCGTTGCTTTCTTGGCAGTGTTAAATATGAAAAATACTGGTAATTTTATTTCCAAGGGATTGACTCCAGTAACCACTTCTGATCGACGTTTCTCGTGCAGGCTGCTATCACAGGACCCTCGCCGTTTTTTGATTGTAGGCACATTCCGGAGGACACGTGTAGAAACGTTTTCGTCTAAGAAAAATTCAACTTGTTACATATTTCTTCCAATTTGTTGATAAGTGTGAAAAAAAAGGACGTACTTGTTCATCGTACTGCCACTTTTGTTTATTGTGACCGCTGCATGCCATTATTTTCACTTTCGGTGTCTTATGCTGAGTATCGTTCTCAGGTGCATCCAAGCAGACACTCTCGTCAGTCATTATAACTCCGTCTTTTGTCATCACGAACATTTGGCTAAGTATCGGTCGCAGCATGCAAGTTTCAAGAACCGCGTATCCCGAAGGCTGTGAATAAGTTCCTTTCGTGGTTGGTCGCATGATGCATTTTTTCGATGAATCATGCACGATCTAGCACGTGTAATAAATTAAGTAATTTAGAGCTAATTCACCGTATAATTTATCGGAACTAATTTAACCGTCACGTCTGTTACACAACGGTAATTTAAAATATTTATTTACCCGTCCGAAAAAACGGTCATCTTTTGGGAAAAAATGTTCTGGCCATATATTATCCAGATACCACTCGAAACTCTTACACTGCAATTTTTTACGTAACGCTAATCTAGATCGAACTGGTTGCTTATCCCTTAATCTAGCTGCCTCTAAAAGGAAACGCACAAATATAGTAGCATATTTAATTCAATTATGAAACCAGCTACTTAACTCTAGTTCAATTACCTGCGTTAAACTTGAAATAAAATTCTGCCCATTCGTCCATCCACACCAAAGCCACTCTGGCGAGATTACCGTACAAAATCTCTCCGACACCACCTGGAAAAGTGTACGGGGATGATTTTCGAAACAGGTGACCTACGTGGGAGCATGGGGCAATTTCTACGCTGCCACCACATTGCCATACTCGAAATGACAATTCTAAATTTTCTCCACCCCAAATTTTCATTTGATCATCGTAGCTGCCTAGCTCAAAGAAATAATCTCGGTTCATGGAAAATAAGCCTCCAGCCATAGCGGGAGTTTTGAACGGTTCGACAATATTGTCGCGTCTTTCTTTAAATAATCGACCGTTTAATGCTAACCACCGAAAGTGCAAATCCCAGTTAAATGCTCCCCAATGTAGCTCGAAAGATCTATAACGATACATCCATAAATTTCTTTTTTAAAATACTGCAACTAATAAAAATGATAAAAGCAATTATAATATATCTCACCGAGTATAACTGAAAGTGTCGTCGTTTATTATATCGATAACGGGTGATACGACTCTTGTTCTATTTTTAGCAACGGCTTCAAGTAAAGGTTCCAACCATCCTAAAATACATTAAGAAAGATATAGTAATATTTTAAGTTCCTTTTAATTGTTTTAAGTAGTTAATGTACATTATAAAAGTAGTAAAAAAGGAGCTTACCTACCAACCGTGCATTCGCAGTGTGCATCCAGAAATGTGAGAACTTCACCTTTGGCTTCATTCGCACCTAAAAGTCTCGCATTCACCAGACCTATTCGGTTCCTAGAACGAAGGACTTTAGTGGGAACTTTTAAATTCTTTATATGTTCATCTAGCGCATCCTTCAAAAAATCTAACAGAAAAAAATGAAAATAAATTTAACGCAGAAATGAATAAAGATATAGAATGAATGAAACATATTTTTTTACCTCTGTCACTATTATCATCAACAAAAATTATTTCCTCTAATAAATTCCTTGGCGATCTATCGATAACGCTGTACACAGTCCTGAGCAACGTACTCCAAGCTTCATTATGGAAGACGATAATTATGGATGTTTTTGGTAAGTTACTCAAATTTGCATACCGCGTTATACACCTATAATCGCTAAGTTAGCTTCCGTCGATAAAATACCGACAGTGCGTAAAAACAAGTAAGAACATTACCCCTTCCTTCTGACATCTGGCAAAGATCGATTTAACGGTATTCTGTCACTAGCCATCAAATTAAACCGATTAATTTGAAAAAGTTGTTGCATTTTGTAAAAATCTTTCGCTGGCACAAGAACTGGACCACCGTTTTTCCCCTCAAATGGACGTGGATCAAACATATTTTTATTAATCAGATCTGAAACCACAAGAAATGTCGTAAAACAATATGTACAAGCGCGTCCTATTATTTCGTAATTTAAGTACCTTTCGTAATGTTCGGTGTTTTCAAAGGATCCACAGAGTCTCCAATATAATGACCCACTACTACGTGTACTCCTTTGCGATCTATGTAATCTCTTTGATTGTCTAACAATCTATAGGTGAAAAAGAGAACGTTAATCAAAACACGAAATTCATTGAATTCGTTGTAGAATCGTGTATACCGACTGAAGCAACAGGTGACATTAAAAACCCTACTTCAATTACTCTTCCCAAAGAAAGCAAGCATGTGCGCAATTCTTCCATAGTGCTTTTTAAAAGAGTTTCAACAAATTTTCACTTTCGTGATCACTTACCGCAGTGAAACGTAATCGTCGCGAGGATCTTCGGCTTCCCGTCTTTTCCATGGCCAAACGAAAAGTATTCCCATGAAGAGTACGATAGAAAGAACGATTGACCATGTACGACATGGTTTTCTTAATCGTGGCCACATCGTGATCCTCGTCGTAATGAGCGCTAAGCTTAACTAATTTTGAAAATAATCCCATTTATCTCATTATGGAATAGTTAGCCGTTATCGTTCAAGTCGGACTTCCGTTATCATATGCTTCACATCCCGGGTCATCGTGAGAAAATGTTCCGACGTCTACCTTGAACCGGGAAAAGTTACGAAAGCTTTGATGAATATCAAGTATTTCTACACACGTAGCACTTGTCAACAAAAATTTTTATTCAATTTTTTATAGAAAAATGGTTTAGTTTATAGTTTACCTGGATTTATATCAAAACTGCAACATAAATTTTACCGGTGGAGCACACGAGGTGCGTGAAGTAATTTCTGACTTCTATTATAAATAAACGTGAATCAAAAGAAAATGATATCCCTCGACAATTTTACATGATGAATATTGTGCTTTAACAAAAAGATACTATTTCACTAGAGAAATTATGCTTGTCACCTAGTACTGCTAAGGTATAATTAAATTAAAAGACGATGCACGAAAATTACCCCGTACATGCTTTCACAGAACCGACAACTGGAATGAGCTCCAAAGAGTTAGGACGCTATGTATAAGACAGTCCTGTATCAAAACAATTCGTAGCCCCACGCCTTATACTACGCACATACTTTTTAGGAAAAGGTTTGAATTAAAAAAAGCATTACATCTTAATTATGTATTTTTATTTTTAACACTGAAAAAAACCTTAACTATGATTGTAATAAGAAAAACATACATAGGTGTTATGCGTCGCAAATTCATTTTCGTGCATCTTGTCATATATTTCACATTTCTGATCAAAAGCCAGCGTTCTACGCAGTTTGTAAAATACAGATAAATTTAAAAAGGCTGATAGCCAAATAAAGGTTTACACATATTCGTAGAATGATTACCGACTCCTAAGTAAGACATCAATGGAAAAATTAACAGAATTAAAAGTGTAAGTTAACAACTAAAATGAATTTATGATTTTACGTAGGTTTTAAAACTATCATAATGTTGAATATGTACATATAGAGAAACGTCATGTTACGGTCTACTCAAAGGAACTGCTCCAATTAAGAGTACTCGTTGCAGAAAGGTCTGTTCCATCCACTTGTACAATTATAGATTAGAAGTAGTATTAAAATTATCAGCGGACACGTAATCGAGAATGCGTCTAGTGGGAGAAATACTTTTCCTACTTTTTCTCAGCATATAATCAATGAGAACGAATCATCTGAGCAGACCGTACTAATGTATTACGAATACCGAAGAGGTCAGCACTATTCCCTACGTACGGTTCGCCACGTTGGAAGAAGTTGACGGCTGACCACTTCTTGTTTGACATTAGAGATTTATTTCTATAAAATACACTTAGTTACTGTTAATTGGATATATTAAGGTGAGAAAACGTTACTTAAATAAATCGTGCATTTTTTGTTCTATGTGAAATGAACTGCGTAGGGTATATATCACATGTGTTACAATTTGATAGCAATAGGTCGCTGAACCTTAAAATCGAGTGTAATACATTTACAATATTATCATTCTCATTAATTAAGTTTTTTTATTATAGCAACAGTATTAATTCAGAATTTACGTTCCAACTGATATTCGTTTCGAACGTATTTATCCTTTTTAACAGTGAAACTTTAAGGAAGCATATGACATTTTTTAAATATGTCTCCAAACTTCTCTGTTAATATTTTTGTATAAGCTTATTTGTAATAGTTTCCTTAATTCCGAAAAATATAATAGAATACTATTAAGCAAGCATAAATTCATAATATGCTCAAATATTCCTACGCATTATTTTTTTTAATTCCATACAGAAAGTCTGAAAGTCTCTACCTATTAAAAAACACAAGTAATTTGCCTCTCAGGGAACCAAGAATGAAGGTAAAGGAGTTACTCAAGACTGTTAATGTGGCATGGTCACCACCTGCCCAACATCCTATACTATTAGCTGCAGGAACTGCAGCTCAGCAACTTGATGCAAGTTTCAATACATCTGCCAGCTTAGATTTGTATTCTTTAAATTTACAACAACCTGGATATGATTTGGAACTGAAAACCAGTATTGCAAGTGACCATAGGTTGGGAAGAAATTCTATTTGTGCATACATACAATCAAAAAATTAACAAAATTTCACACATGTATGAAAATTTTAGATTCCATAAAATAATATGGGGCTCATATGGTAATAATCCAGCTGGCATAATTGTTGGAGGCTGTGATTATGGCATGATAAAGATTTATTCAGCTGCTGAAATGTTAGCCAATGATAATAATAATTTAATAAGTAGTCCAGACAGACATACAGGTCCAGTTAGAGCACTTGATTTTAATCCCTTTCAAGCAAATTTATTAGCAACAGGTGCAACAGAAAGTGAAATTTATATATGGGATATTGTGAATACAAATACCCCAATGACTCCTGGACCTAGAAGTCAACCATTAGAAGATGTGCAACATATTGCTTGGAATAAGCAAGGTTGTTCTATAATATTTAGTGTTAAAATATTTATACTTTAATATCAATAAATCTTATTTCCTTTTACAGTACAACACATTCTTGCCTCTACATTTTCACAGCGATGTGTTATATGGGATCTAAGAAAAAACGAGCCAATCATCAAATTAACAGATGCAAATTCAAAAGTAACATTACTTATACTCTATATCTTGGCTTAATCAATGTCCATTTTTAATATTATAATTTTTATTTTTTAATATAAATAAAGGTAAGGTGGAAAGTGGTTCAGTGGCATCCAGATGTTGCAACACAATTATGCCTAGCATCAGAGGATGATCAGGCTCCTGTAATTGAATTATGGGATTTGAGATTTGCAACATCACCCTTGAAAACATTCCAGAATCATCAACGTGGAGTTTTGTCAATTGCATGGAATCCACATGATCCAGATCTGCTCTTAAGTTGTGCCAAAGATAACAGAATATTGTGTTGGAATCCTAATTCGGATGTACCAGTATGTTTAATTAAATATTTATTATTCATAGTAGTGAAAGAATTCCAGTAATTCATTTTTATCATTTTACCACATAGAATGGTGAAGTAATTTGTGAATTAGCACAAACAAATCAATGGAATTTTGATGTCTCATGGTGTCCAAGGCATCCAGGATTAGTAGTAGGAACTAGCTTTGATGGGCATGCAGCAGTTTACTCTTTATTGGGAGGACAGCAACAACTATCTATAGAAACATCCAACAAAATTGTAGATTCCTTCCCTGGGATGGACCCCTTCACACAACCACCTCCTACAGTACAGACAGAACCAACAGCTGTCTTAACAAAAGCTCCAAAGTGGTTGAAAAAACCATTTGGAGTCTCTTTTGGTGTGAGTGTCTATAGATTTTGATATGTTATGTCGTTAGATTTATGACTCCTTTTATGACAACAGTCAATTCCTTCTAGTTTGGTGGTAAATTAACAGTATTTGAAAATGGACCTGTAGATCCCAATCTGCCAGCAAATTCAAACAGAAGAGTGATCATATCACAAGTAGTCACGCAAGCAGATTTAATTCAACGTTCGAACGAATTAGAGGAAGTTCTTAAAACTGAACAATACAGTGATTACTGTAAAGGAAAGGCTGACCGAACTACCGATGTACATAGGAAAAAGATATGGAATTGCGTGGGTGCATATTTTGGTGAAAATGTGACGAAAGATATATTAGAGTTACTAGGTTATAACGTAGAAGCGATGAATAATAAGCTAAATCAGTTCGTGTCCCAGGATGACATTAATAATATTACAGAAGGAGTTGGTAATTTAAATAACGTAAGTTTTCTTTAGTACTATTTAAAGAGAATGTACAAAAATCATTGCATATTAGAAAGTACAATTCCTGTAGGTGCTAAATGGGAATGTTATCGATGGAAGTGCGGCGTTTGACGCTATTGCACAAGAATCTAAAAAAGCATCAATGGTTACTTCAAAAAATAACAACTTACAATTAAATGTATCTGATGGTAATCTTACAATTACAAATTTAAAAAGCTTAAAATTTCCATTATCATTAATTAATGGCCGTTGTTTTATTTTAATGCAGATGAGGATGGGCTTATAACTCAAGCAATCCTCTTAGGAAATATAGAAGCTGCTGTGTCCTTGTGCTTTGCAAATAAAAGGTACGCAGATGCAGTCATTCTTTCAATGGCTGCTGGACCCGATTTGTTAGCACGTACCCAGTACCGATACTTTTCAGAACATTCTGGTTCTCTCAATTCTCTTATCAGTTCATTAGTTAGTGAAAATTGGGCTGATGTTGTTAAAAATACTAATATAAATTGTTGGAAAGAAGTACTGATAGGAATATTTACTCATGCTAATCTGCAGGAGCGATCTACTCTATGCGGTACGTACGTACTACGAAATAAATTTTGCAATAATTCAAAATATATGATTCCCAATTTTATTTTTATTTTTCAACTATTACAGATATGCTTGGAGATCGTTTAGCATCGTCTGATAATTCAACGCTCAAAGAACAAGCTCAAATATGTTACATTTGTTCTGGTAATTTGAATAAAATGGTTGAATCGTTTAATGTTGAAATTCAGGAAGTAGTAGAATTAGTGGTTATAATGCAAAGAGCATTAGAAATGCAAGGCATCAGAGACGTACAAATAGAAGGAAGAATTGCTAACGTTTTGTCTCAGTATGCCGAAATGTTAGCGGCAGAGGGAGATCTTGATGCTGCATTAAATTATCTTGGAAATAGTCAAGATGAAAGAATCGTAATGTTGAAGGATCGCCTGTGCAGAGCTTTGGGATACATCCAAGAATCAAAAGCCATGGCGAAAGCATCGATGCAAAATTATTACGATCGAACGAGAACGCCAATGCAAGCTGTACAAAATCAAATGCCAGCTTTACCCGATTTTGCGACGAAACAAGCAAGACCCTTCGTCGATCGAAACGTTGTCCCCGCGGCACAATCCTTTGTACCACCTCCAAATCAATTTAATATCCAACAGCAACAACAACCTTTTGGGTTATCTCCACTTCAGCCACCCCCACCACCTATGCAATATGATCAAACACCCAATCCGTATACCTCATCATCTATGTCTCAACCACCTCCTCCACCTCCACCTTCAAGTGGATCCAGCGGAATGGGATCGCGACCGTCTAGCGTCGGACCTCAAGCAAGATCAAAATACATAATAGATCCATCTGTAAAATCTAGTTCAACGTATGGACAATCTGGTTTTCCTCAGCAAACATCGCCATATAATAATCAACAAATTCCTTCACTACCAGGCTACCCTTCACCAAATATGTATCAACCACAAGTTCCTGCATCTATAAACGCTTACCCTGGACAAAACTTTGCACCTAGCCCAAAAGAAGTGGAACCCTTTAAACCAGTTCAGTCCAATGTATTACCACCATTACAAAATCCACCACAGAATCAAATGTATGAACCGATTAGGACGATGCAACCACTTCCACAGACGCAAACATATGGAAGCGAGAATGAACCACCTATCGATCGCTCTGTCATGTATCAGCAACTGCCTCAACTCACTGGATGGAACGACCCACCAGCTGCCAAACCGTCTAGAATACAAGTACGTATCATTATATTTCTTTCGTATTAGTATACGGCAAATTATGCGATAAACTATTAATTAGTTGTGTGTAATAATTTGATACTTATGATATATGTATGTACGGTCAAATAATATAGCCAGTACTGGCATTATACACCAAAAATGAAATGTCTGCGGAACATGCTGGTACCAGGATATGGAAAGCAAAATATTCGAAGAATTTGAAGGTAGACACCCACAAAAGATTGAGTGTTGTTTCCAATGTTTCACAATTGCTATTTATTTTTTACCAAAGTATATTGTTCCCCCTCGTGTATTTTAGCCGATCGCGAATAACAATTTCGTGTGATATGAAATTAACCAATACAATGGTGTGAAATACACGAACATTTTTCAACTGCTTCATACAAAAACTGGAGCCGTACGACATTATATTTTACAACTCGTACACATTGCTAATTTTATTGCTAAGATTAATAAAAAAAAAGTATTAGTTTTAAGTGTAACAATTAAAATACTTTACAGCCAAAACCAGACTACCAGCCTCAAAATCCGATTTTGCATCCACTAAGAGGAGCCATGCCGCAACCCGAACAAAATGTAAGTCATATTTAATTGTATGAAACTATGAAGTACTATTTTTTTTCTTGCTTTTCAGATGTTACCCGAAGACAAACTTTATCCTACGTCACAGTCGCCTTACAATCCACAGCAATATAATCCGAATATTCCAAATATGGGTCCCCAGTATGCCAAACCAATGGAGCTCTTACAACCAGCAGCAATTGTTAGAACACCGGAACCGGAGAAACCGAAAGCACCGATACCGGAACAACACGTGCATTTAAAAACAGTATTTGATGAATTAAAGAGTCAATGCTACAAGAATACTAAAAATCCAGTAAGATGATCCTTGATTTTTAGAAGTATAATAAACTTTATTATAATACAATCGAAATTACACTTTTAATTACATTTTTCGCTTTCTTAGCATATCAAACGAAAAATAGAAGATCTATCCAAAAAACTGGAAGTTTTATATGATTGCCTTAGAGAGAATAAAGTATGTATACTTTCTTTACATTATATTACAATCAGTCTCGAAGTATGACAAATATATTTATTATGTATATTTTATAGTTATCGCAAAACACTTTACAAGCATTGCATCAGATATCACAGATGATACAAAGTGGAAACTATACCGGTGGCTTAGGTCTTACCACACAATTAGTGTCAGGTCCAGATTTTAGCCAGATAACTTCTTTCATGCCTGGTATTAAACTATTATTGCAAACTGCCCTTATGATGAATCTCTATATTAGATAGAATGCAGTATACAAAATGTACTTATTCATTTTTATAATTTAGAATTTTTATAATCATTCATGCCCTTATTAAATGAAGTATTTATGTTGCATTAACTTTCGATACTATCCAATGCGATAAAAATAGTTGCAACTATTTATACATAAACTTTATGGCTTAATTGTATTATCAACAAAATTATGAAGTTTATAAATTTACACTTCAAGATGGCTTATTACGATTAGATAACCGTACATTAATTATTCCTGTACAATTAAAAAAGAAAAGCTCGTTATATAAGATACATGTAAAAAGTAGAGAAAAATACTCGAACAGAGAAAGCATCTGAAGTGTTCCCGCGAATTGTTATTCATTTTTTTCCTTTTAACGAATATATGTATATATAAAATATTAAAGTTGGCTTAAGAAAAGCATGTGTATATTTTTAAATAAAAAAGTTATATGATAATTTGTTCAGATTATACATTAAATTTGTTACTGAAACTGAGGTCGAAATGATTTATTGAATGATTAAACTGTGTAATATAGCGGCTTTTTCATTGATAATAAATTTTTGTAATAATTCATCTAGTGGGTCGATGCCGTCTCGGGCAGCTTGTCTATAATATTTATATATAGATATATTATAAATATACATATAAAGGTATGATGCTTAATACATAATACGACGTACTTTGTAAGACTCCAGATCCCGTGGCTATATCTAAAGATACACCACCACCATGTTCTGTCCAAAGATATGTCAATTCTTCTAAAATATCTACACATATAATGTAAGCTTGAAATAATGGATAAGAGAAAGATCCACGATTGGTAATCCTTTCCGTAATTGTAGATAAGGTACTAGCTTCTTGTGGCCAATCAATTTGCATTAATACTAATGCATGACCTATAGCTAAGTCTCCAACACCACCGGGTAAAGAGAAGTTTTCCTACAGTAAAATAAATACAGTAATGTAAAAATCGAATGAAAAATAGTCTTAACCATCATTTTATCTTAATTACCTTTATCGCTAAAAGAAGCAATCGGCAACAATACTGTATAACAGGAAAACGTGCAAGAGTCAAATAATGTAAATGCCTTGCACACGGAACTGTTACATTATGAGATACTTTCCCACAAATTGAGGGTAATGCGCTAACTACTAAAACTATATACTCCAACATTCCCTAAACAAGATATGATGTATTTAAGAGTATTTTAAGGGCAGAAACATAAGAGAAAGATAAAAGTATATAATGTACCTTATAATCTTTCAAGAAAAAACATGTACTTGCTAAACGAAGATGGGCAGATAAACTACCTGCTTCTTGTGATAATCTGGCTAATACTTCGTGATGTAAACCCTTATACATAGCTAAATCTGTTAAAAATGAGTTCAGCCACGAATCTAATCGAAGTTGCTGATTTAATTTCCCTATTTCTCTTTGCAAATAATCACTACTATGTAATAAGTCCCATAACTTCACCGCTAATGCCAAACCATTACCGCTATAATCACCGTCGCTAGTTACTACGATTCCCCCATTATCTTCTCTTTTACGTTTTTTCAATTTCGGTTCTAGTCATAATAAAAACGGTTGTGTCAAATTATGTATAATAAAATCATAAATTATTTATACATATATTATATCTTACCAGTTGGTGAATGTACACATTCTCCAAATGCTTCTACCAAACAGTACATGGTTTCATCATTATTAATAAGTGCATTATGCTCATTTAATATTCGTAGTAATACCACAACAGTACACATTAATAGTTGCCTAACTACCAATTCTTCACATAAATTTCCTGAATGTATAACTGCATATTGATGCAACCTTTCACAATAAGTATCTCTATTCCAAGTTGTAGAGAATAAACTACTCAATTCCCACCCTAATTTTTTGCCAATTAATTCAACAACTTGAAACAGTCTATCCCAGGGATGTTGAATTTGATTATCTTGTGGCTGTTGTATATAGGCTAAATAAAATTCTACTGCTTTACAAAGTAATCTTAAGCTAAGCCTTGGATTTAATTCTACTGGTGCAGTACCAAGAAGTGGTAGTGCATCACAGGCTAATAATTTTCTGAAACCATTTACTGCACGTCCTGGATGACTGTGTTTCTCAGCAGTAAGAAGAGTTTCCACTAACCGTGGCTGGAAATACAATAAATTGAAAAGAACATAATCAGTACAGATGCTAGAAACATGTCAGTTAAAAGTACTTACTCCATGAGTGGCAATAGTTTGAGGAAATCTACGTAATAAAAGAAGCAGCAATTTACAGTGTTCCATTGTATCTTCACTATGATCAGCTGTCATAATGAGTAATCTGTGCTGAAGCTCTTGTGGTATATGTTGGAACATTTGACATAAAAATTCTGCTTCTGGATCACATTGTTCCAAACGAAGACAAGCTGTTACTGTTTCTATTTCTTTCCATATATCACGATCATCTGGAAAATTCTGAAATCTATTTTTACATTTAAACAATTGTTTGCACGTACGTAGATGATTTTTACGTTATTACATAGTTTGAACACTCACATTTCACTAAAACATTTTGCTGCTTCCTTCACATTTTTCGAAAGCTTTTCTATCCGGTACGCTTCGAACTGCCAAATAAACGACGTAAATTATTATAGAAAACTGTTTGTCTATTAATTATAAAAATGTAAACTGATAAACATTAAGTGGCATTAACCTGAACTTTAGCACTATGAGGAAACAAAGATCTAGCAGTAATTAGCCAGGATTTAGCTGCATAGATATCAACCGGTAGTGCATCTTTCGCCCGCATAATTAGGTAATCTTCTTTGGACAATTGGTTATTATCCGTGCCGGATGTTTTCTCCAACATCTTTCAAATTATTTAAAATCTACAGGAGCAAATTAAGATATCTAGTACACATCGTATTGTTGAGAGAATCATTAAGCGTCTGTAGATGGCAGTATAATGCTTATTACGCTTTATAGACAGCTAACCTCACAGACGAGGTACAGAATAGACTTATCATTTTATGGGACTTTATGTCTAACGTTCTGAAATACCGATCGTATAAAAAACCAGAGATTTAGTTGCGCTTTTTACGATAATAGAGCGGTGAGTTTAGGAATGATATACAATCCAACGATTAAAAATAATAAAGTCGACAGATGTAAAAAATTCTCCTTTTTTAAATCTTCATCTAAATATATTGCCCGGCAAAGTAAATTTGAGGCTTCAGGCGCGCTTTCAGGTCTAGAAGAAATGGGAGATACAGGAGAAGTTGTGACGTTTCCACTGTTAATCAACCAATAGTGATAGAATAAGTCTATCGCACTTACTCCTACGACTTCGCTGATAGTCAGCCACTCACGATAGGAGAAAAGATCGAGAGTATCATCGAGAGAATGAATATTGTTTAAACAATGAGTTTTTGGCAAAGGACATGGACGTGGTGTGTAAAGGAGCAATAAATTGACTGTAAAATTGTGTAAAACAATATTGGTATATTGTAACATTTTGTAAAATACATTTTGTACAGTTATCTTGCAATAAATAATTATATTTCTTCATTGTTCCTGATATTGAAATCCTTTTCTTCGTTCCTGTGGTGGCCTGAAACTTCACTCTCTAATTTAAACAAAAATTTAAAATGTTATTTAACAAGGAGCACTATTTATTCTTCAATTAAAGAACTTGAAAATAAAACAGAAATTGTATTATACTCTATCTGTATTATTAGTAACGTTAAGTAAATTAAAATTGATTATAAGTATCAATTAAATATAATAGGGATGACAAGGATAGCACTAAAGCAACGAGTTAGACAAGGACAGAAAAAAAAATGGCAGGCGAGACTAACACCATCTCGCGTCTGGTGACGCGAACTACGATTTTTTAATAGGATAACAGAATATAAACAGAGGTGTTAGACAAAGATAGCAACAGTGTGCGACAAGGATAGAGAGAAAACGCTTCCTATTGGCCAGCGGGCCGCCGAGCTCCACCTATCAGGCCCCAGAATAAGTCGATCGATGAAAAATCGTTAATAAATCATTAATTAGGATGATTTTGCCTACTTTTAGAATTGAAGAATGAAGTACGAACCTTTAGCAACTTTCTCATTTAGTTTTTAATGCACTAGACCCTTCCAATAATTAGTTATTAACAATTTTAGTACGTGATGTCGGGAACGATACCGCATACCGTCAAGCACCTATACGATTTTTCATTAATTTCATAGCTTTCTACTAAATTCTCGTGCAACTAACTGTACGCATCTGAAAGGCAACTCCTTTCGCTTAATTCTTATATAATTTTTATTAACATATTCGGTTTAGTTTAAGAGTTATTAAACATTTTACGGGAGCGTCACCTATTGATCGTACTCGTGTATACCGGACTGTTATAAACAATTATTAATATCTAACAAACCACACCACTTATGGCTACCAAACTTATTTAAGAATATAAACGAAAGTCCATTCTACATTCTGCATGCTCTACAGTGCATAATCAGTGACGCATTTCTATTGAAATAACGAAAATATGTTACGATGGTATATGACGGGTGCAATACTCTCCCGTAGAATGTTTAATAACTCTTAAACTAAACCGAATATGTTAATGAAAATGTAACGAGAAAGTAGCTCATCGAATAGCCTTTCGAGCGCATGTATGGAAGTGCATAAAATATTTGTGCAAAGCTTCAAAATTAATGAAAAACCAGAAGAGTGTGCGGTATCGCTGCCGACACTCTGCACAATAATTGTTAATAACTAATTATTGAAAGGAATTAGTGAACTATAAACTATATGAGAAAGTTGCTGAAGGTCCAAACTTCATTCTTCAATTCTAAAAGTTCACAAAATCATTGTAATTATGGAGTTATTAATGAAAATGACGGAAATGTATTACGCCTGAATACGACGAGCGTAATACATACCCATATAATGTTTAATAACTCCTAAAGTAAACCGAATATGTTAATAAAAATTATATGAGAAAGTAGCCAAAAGAGTTGCCTTTCAGATGCGTGTAGTTATATGCACGAGAATTTAGCAGAAAGCTATGAAATTAATGAAAAATCGTAAAGGTGCTTGACGGTATGCGGTATCGTTCCCGACATCACGTACTAAAATTGTTAATAACTAATTATTGGAATGGTTTAAAGCATTAAAAACTATATGTGAAAGTTGCTGAAGGTCCATATTTCATTCTTCAATTCTAAAAGTTCACAAAATCATCCTGATTATTGAGTTATTAACGATTTTTCATGGATCGACTTAATCTGGGGCCTGATAGGTGGAGCTCGGCGGCCCGCTGGCCAATAGGAAGCGTCTTCTCCCTATCCTTGTCGCACACTAGTGCTTTCCTTGTCTAATACCTCTGTTTATATTCTGTTATTCTATTAAGAAATCGTAGTTCGCGTCACCAGACGCGAGATGGTGTTAGTCTCGCCTGCCACTTTTTTCTGTCCTTGTCTAACACTATATCTTTCCTTGTCTAACTCGTTGCTTTAGTGCTATCCTTGTCTAACCCTATTTCTTTCCTTGTCTAACTCGTTCCTCTAGTGCTATCCTTGTCTAACCCTATTTCTTTCCTTGTCTAACTCGTTTCTCTTGTGCTATCCTCGTCTACCGCTATTCGTTTCCTTATCTCTCTTCACTACTGCTATGCTCGTCATCCCTATTACATTTAGTTGATACTTATAATCAGCTTTTAATAATGTAGTTAGTAAAATACAGTTTCAGGCTTATTTTCAAGTGCTTTAATTATACAATAAATACTATTTCGTGTTAAATAACAATTTAGATGGTAGTTTATAATTATTGGAGGTCTTAAATAAATAAAAAGCAGATTGATTTATTAATTTCGCATTGAACTAACAATTTCATGCAGCAGATTAAGTAGAAATTGTTTATAACTCTTATTGGAAATTGAAAAATTAATATTCTTTTCGTATGAATTAAACATTGCGCTTTAGGTCACGTCTGGAATCAAGGGAAGGTCTTGAATGTCAGGAGAAATAAAGAAATGCAATTACTTATCGAAATATTAATTATTTATTGTAAGATAATTATACTTGAGCAACAATCCTGTGGTGAGGCACTGTATGAATGTAGTAGTGATCGCACGGCCTAAAAGTGAAAACTATTTATGCTTCTTGTCCAGAACAAAGTACATAAACGGAGAACAACTCCAGGAAATATACATGCAGGGTGTTTCATTTTAATCAATCCACGTAAATATTTCTCACAGTATCCGTTATTCGAAGTTACTTAGAGTGGTACTCCTTAAAGTAGAGATAAAATTCATTGGAATTTTTTCTGTTTTACAGTTTAGTAAGTAGCAACATATATTGTTCCAAATAATTGTTATCGGGGCTGGAAAACATTGTCACTGGCTTCATACTTAACATCGAATGGTATTTCAACGGGAGGAATATTAGAAATCACGCAGTTTATCATTGGAGCAGTTTCATCAGGGAGTTCTACAAGAAGA